ACAACACTTGGGTTTGCTCTTTCTGTTTCCTTTTGCTTTTCCTATATTCCTATCTCTTCACAAATCATGACATCACTGATGCTAAGCTTCCAAGACTGAACCGTCCCCCACATTCTTATACGAGAACTATAATCTCCAATGTGATCAAATTGAAGAGAAAGGGTTTGGGAAGACCTCTGGGAACTTCTGAGGTCACAATGGTAATGCCCTTCTACAAGGATTGTGCCCTTCTACAAAGAGACCCCATCTGCTATCTTTCTTTCCAGCACGTGGCGTGAGGACTCAACCTCTGCCCACCTGACATCTCCAAGCCTATCAAATTTTGACGAATACATTTCTATCATCAAAGCCACTCACCCTGTGTTGTTTTTGTTACAGTGTCCCCAAGTGTCTAAGACATCAACTCTTACCAGGAAAGGTACCCAGTAGTAATTTAAAGTTGTTGGTCCTTCTACAATCTTTTGCAGCCGCTCTGTGAAGAGTAGGAAGGCCAGGAGACCTACGTTGAAAAAGTGGAACACAAATATCCCACATTGAGAAAGGTTATCGAGATTTTTGTAGCACAGAGCTTTCCAAACTCCTTACAGCTTTGAATCCATGTTGTCATCGCTACTCACCTACAATCCCAGAGACTAGGATTTTTCCCAGGAGTAGTATGAAGCATGTGATTTCATCTGTAACTGCGACTCTGAGCATCAAGGGGGAATAAGAAAGTATAGTTCAGTGTTTGATGCACTCAGTGCTGGAAACTTGCATGAGGTAGAGAGACTCACGGGTTCACTTTCTGATGTATTTGGTGAAATTTTGTCAATTATTTAAATGCAAGAAATAAGCATGGAAGCCAGACACGAGGTTCTTATTTCTAATGAGGCCCACAGAAGGGGATATTTTAGGGTCATGGGGTGACGAACAACAGGGGTGTCTGGTTCTGTCTCTATATCCTAAGGGGATGGGCCAGCTTGACTCCATCTTAAGGATGGAAGCCATTTTGTTGTAATGTCAGAACAAGTCTATTTCTATTTGCTGCAAAACTCAAGTTGACCGTGCTCTAACCTATTTCTGGAATTTGACATGCTCCCACCACCCTGAAGGATAAGATGTTCTGCCAAATAACTATGAAATGTTCAGCCAAGTTCCTACAGAACCAAAATTTCCTCTGGAAATTCCCCCAACCCTTGAAAAGCCCTCGCCTTGCAGGCTCTTTTGGAATATATAAACCCCACCTTCTCCTGTGTTTGGTGCTATTTTTCTCAAACTCTTCTTTAGGGAGATAGCTCTGTTTGACAAAAAATAAAAGTCCCTTAACTTGACCAAATGATTTGGGTTCAGGTTTTTACTGTCATTTGGTGGGATTAGCAGGGGACTCTGGATCCTGAGCACGGTGAATTCATTCTCCGATTCCACAAACCCATTTCCCAACAACTGTGAGAGGAGGAGACTGGCATCAAGGAAATGCCAATGTAAGTCACTTGGAGAACTTCTTGGGCAGGAAGGACAATAAAAATCAAATTTGTAGCCACCTAGGTAGAAGAAGGGAACTACAACTTTGAGCTGTGAAAAGAAATGAATGCTGATTGCAATGTTGGAATGTAAAATAAAATTTAAAAGAATAAATTATTTTTTAAATCTATCAAACTAAAAGGTAACACCCATGGCTGATAAGGCCAGTAGCACCAAGAGTCACTACAAGCAAAGGGTGTCACGCCAAGTCTCACCAGGTTGCCCATGGCCATCTTCAGCCCGATTACTTACTTTAGAATGTTTCTCATGAGCAGAGAGAAAGATTCTTTTGTCGACTCACAGAAGTTTTTACCGTATAATGCAATCTGAAGAAAATGATTAGTGCTCTTGTTAGTAGCACGGACAACACTCAGGACAGCACAGTTCATTGCCATCTTCCACACTAATAACCCTGTCCTCTTCCCAGCATTTGGGTTTGTGGGATGCCTAGGAGCTCTCTGTCCCTGACCCCACAGAGCTCTCAGGATCATTGACACTAAGGGGCTGGCCAAGTGTGTAAGTAGGGGCAGGCTTTCTTTCAAGTCTCAGATGAGGGGTTCTATCTTCGAAAAACATTAGGCTGTAGTGGGTACTAAGTGGATTGGATATTGTCATCACATAAAAAAATTACTCCTAAGGAAAGCCAATCCTTTCCACGATGAGGATTTACTGACTAAAAGGCTCATCAGCACTGTCTCTCTCTGTAGATAAATTGATTGAGTCTTCGATTCATGAGGATAGGAATCCCATCTCCAGTCCCCTCTCCACTGTAATGATAAGCAAGCATTGTCATATGGCAGCGTCTGCATTTTGAGAGAGTTGTTTTTTTTTCTGTCTACTATGTAAACACAACAATTCTTTAGAGGCTTCCACATTCTCACAGGGAATGAGTTAGAGATCTGCCCAAGCATTAGCACTGCTTACTCTTCTTAACATAAAGTTCATTAGAATGATTAATCCTTCCTTAAAATTATGTAAATCCCTCTATTAGAAAGGCAGTTTCTTCCCTGAAGGGACTAGGAGCAACAGCTTCCTTACACAGCTATCAGACGCACAGCACCATTTCAACGTACCACACTTCCACCTTTGCCATTTTAAATTCTAATTACATTTACTTGTGTGTGTGTGTGTGTTTGTGTGTGTGTGTGTGTGTGTGTGTGTGTGTGTGTGTGTGTGTGTGTGTGTGTGTGTGCTTACTCCACAGCTTGCCAGCAGATGTTATTTGGTTCTCGTCTTCCACCCTGAGGGACCTAGGGCTGGCTTGGCTCGTCAGGTTTTGCAGCAAGCCCCTTTACCCTCAAAGCCATCTCTCTGGCCCTGGAGCACACTTTGAAAATTTCAATGCAAATATTGCCCCTTAAATGAGATATCAAAGGTACTAACATCTCAAGAAAAGTGTAGCCCTGATTCCTGTGTGGTAGTCACTGGGCAGAACAAGGGTACCATACATGAACAGTGGCCCACTTACCATGAT